TTGTCTGGGTTTTTAGTAATGGATTAAAAAATGAACCTCAAATTCATGCAGTAGACATTTTCAAAATATTTAAATATTTTATTTACCTTTGTCAATTGCATAGCCATCGTCGAAAATTTACAAAAATGGGGATTAAATTTGGAAAATATTGTAAGTTAAGGTTATGACGATTGTTCAACAATGGCTGGACAAATCGAAGGTGTTCATAAAATTATTCAGCAACAGTACCCCCTAGCTCATTTTTCCCCGGCTTTCTTGACTGTACATGCTAAATGTTAAAAGAAGATGAGAATTTCGTAAATGAAGTAGTTAATAAATTTAGATTAGTACCCAGAAGGCTACAGTTCCTATTTAACTAGGCAAATATTTAAAATAACCTTTAAGGATTTGTTTGTTAACATGTATATTTATGATTATTTGTGTTCACCTCAACTGTGTACCTTTATTTGAAAATTATTAAAGTATTTTTGTAAAAAGTCTGTATTTTTGGAAATTGCAGGGGGGCAACTGCCCCCCCTTGCCCCTGCCTGCGGGCGCCCATGCGTCATACATCACTTCAACTTACTCTGTCACCGCCTTAGCTATCAACATTCCCAATATAGATTTAATTTCGTTAAAACTATCATACAAATCTTTCTCAACCACTATAGTATGTTTATATCGTCCTCTAAAGAAAACTTCTCTAGAAAACCACCAACAGCTTTTTTTTGAGGTACTTTCAAACCTATCTATTTCCCAATCCTGTAGTGGTTGGGGATTTCAACTATCCAGAAATTTCCTGGCCCCTTACTGCAGGTATTGAAGTATTGCAAATCTAAAATCCTAAAAGTGTGGCGAATCCACTCTTTTTACACAAACTACTATTTGTTCTATTTCCTCTTTTAAGGTTTTTTTTCGGAAAAGCATTCGACTCAAAAACTCCCTTAATTTTCCTGGGAAATGTGTTTGAAGCATCTAAAAAATGTCAGATTGTGAGGAACATCGAGTAGTATAAGCGAATTTTTAGTTTTTTCGAAGAAGCTAGAACATTCGGGAAACAAAAATATATTTTTTAGATTTTCACCAAAAAAAAAGGACATTTTTTGAAACGGATAAATCCGCTGTCAAAAAAAGTTGGTCGAGCCGGAAAATTGTTGAAAAAACACTTTCCCGAAGAATAATTTAAAATTTTCTGACGTGATTTGACAGAGAAAACTTCAATGTTTCAGAAGGACAAATTTGTAACAATTTTCAGGATGGCTATGATGATAGTTTTGTTTCATTCACAAATTCGTCTCATTCTCAATCTCATATAGGTAATTTTAATATTCTTATCCACATTTCATTTTGTACTGAAATAATGACATAAACCTGAAATACTGGTTCTCTAGTTAACCCTATAGATCCTAGAAAAATCGAAAGTAGGTAGTTATTATAGGCGTATGTACAAAACATATTTATACAAAGCTGAAAATCTCTAGAGTAATGCAATTATCTAATGTTCTACTTTACTTTTTACATTTGACCTAAAATCGACCCATTTATTAAATATTCAATCTAACCCTCGCTCTCTGAAACTGTATTTAGGTCAAAAAACGAAAATTTCATATACTTACATGCCTTAGGTACACATAATATGCATAAAATAAAATCGATTCTCCATATCAGAAAATAAATTCCAATATTTTGCTGTAAAAAGTGTTATTTTAGAATTAATTAATAATAAGTAATAAACGGTGGTGGTTTTCTCACAAAAAAAACTAGCATGATCTAAAATATATCTACCTTATAATCGCCAAATATGAAAATAACTACTTACATTAAAACTTATTTATATTTATTCAAAATATTTAGTAGATTTTATATTTTTTGTTATTATTAAGCAAATAAGTAAAAAGTAAAAGAAATCTAAAAAAATGAAGCATCTAGTTTGTATCTATATTGAAAAAAACTGCCAAGTGCAAGATAATTTGAAGTTAGCACAGCCAAATGGAAATTTTTATAAAAATAAGTTGGCATTCGTTTGTCCACAATTTATCCACGATTGTCCAACAAATATTTTCGTGCGTTCACCCTTAAAAAAAAGTTATAGTAAAATTAACATTTTCAGCCAAATTTCACATCAGCATCGCCATAAAAAATCATAATTTCAAAGTAGTATTCGACTCTCCACGATTTATCCACGTTTGTCCACGTTTTTCTATGTTTATCCAACCAAAAGTTTCTTTTAACCACCCCCCCTCCCCCATCAAAACCAAGATATTTAATAAATCAAAAAAATGCACATGGTCTCAGGGACAACCTTATTAATACATTTCTTTATTACTGTCATGAAAATTCCTAAGCCGCATCTGTATAAAGTGAGCGACCTTCAGCTTACCACCCGACTCATGCTCGAAACGACGGAATCTTCTAGGAATGCCGCTGACGCTCGAGAAACGGCTAGAACGGGCGGAGCGTACCGTTGAGATGGAATTTTTCCTGATGATGCGTCTTCTATAATTTCTTCTTTGGAAAGTAAAATGTCTTCCATGGAATCCAAAGTTTCTTCTGATGTTTCCTCTATTAAAAATGATATTTCCTTCTTGGAAATTAAAGTTTTTTCTGACAAGAGATAGATTATTTTAAGCAACTCAAAAAGATACTAAATATGCGATATGGTCACGAACATTTGGAGCATCTATACCAGTCACAGTTAAAGAATCGCAAACAGAAACGAGACGAGACTCTTCAAGAATACGAAGTAGATATTGCCAGGTTGGTGTGATTTGCTTACCCATCGGCTCCGGAAAATATGATAGAATGTCTGGGTCCAAACATTTGTTGATGCACTCCGTGACCACGACATGCAGAAAACACTCCGCTTAGCCCTCCACAAAACATTGGTCGATGTCTTGTCCGCTGCTCTTGAATATGAAGCGGCTACGCTGGCTTCTGGTGGATACAGTGAAGTAAGGACTGTCAAAGAAAAAGAACAAGGAAATAAATTGTACCAATTGTTTCACATGATAAAAACCTTTATTGAGAAGCAACCAAAAGCTATTAGGTGCTGAAATTACGGTGAAATGGGAAATGTAAGCAGTTCGCCGGTGACAGTACAGGAAGGAACGGTGTTGCCTGAAAGTAGTGAAACCATAAGAGTAAGGCGGTTGGCCACATCTGTTACAGTACGAAGAACGTCGATTGTCAGCGATGAGTAGGCCCCTGTCAAACTTAGGGAAGAACAAGAAAACGATCCCGTTTTAAAGAAGATGCGACAATGGAAAAAGGAAAATCGTCGACCTACTTGGCAAGAAGTATCTAATCTCTCTCCAGTACTTAAGTCGTATCTGGCTAAGTGGGACTCCTTTATCCTGGAAGATGGCTTATTAAAGCGAGTACTTGAAAATGATGATGGTTCCGAGAACAGAAGACAGTTGGTCATTCCAAGAAGTAGAGTAGCCGAAGTACTTCGTCAGTTACACGACAGTCCATCAGAAGAACATCTCGGTGATAGGAAAACCCTTCAGCGAGTTCGGGAAAGGTTTTATTGGATGAACAGTTCCGATGATGTAAAGGACTGGTCTAAGAAATGTACCAGCTCTGCTATGAGTAATGGACCTCAGCGAAAAAGGAAGGCTCCCATGAAGCAATACAACGTTGGTTGCCCATTTGAGAGAATCGTCTTAAATATTGCTGGACCATTCCCCACGACCGAGAATGGTAATAAATACATGGATTATTTCACGAAGTGGGTGAAAGTCTACGCCATTCCAAATCAAGAGGCCGCAACTGTTGCAGATGTGTTGATAAAAGAGTTTATTTGCCGATTTGGAGTGCCCTTGGAGATCCACAGAAATTTTGAAAGCCAACTCTTCCGTAGAGTCTGTGATAGACTAGGCACGAAAAAAACCAGAACCACAGCATTGCGTCCACAATCCGATGGAATGGTAGAGCAAATGAATAAGATCATTGAAAAATATCTGTTAAAAGTGGTTTCAAGCCATCAGCGAGACTGGGATCGGTATCTTACGCTCTTTGCAATGGCTTATAGATCCGCTGTCAATGAATCAACAGGCCAAACACCAGCAAAAGTCCTGTTTGGGCGTGAGATGAGACTACCATGCGAACTTGAGTTTGGATACCGACTTGGAGAAGATGTAGCTGGTGAGGATTATGTGATCCAGTTATGAAGAAGAATGGACGATATACATGAATTGGTCCGCTCGCATCTTCAAATCGCCAGCGACAGAATGAAGAAGCGATATGATACCCAAGCCACATAAGGATGTTTCAAGGAAGGCGAAAAAGTCTGGCTCCATAACCCAAAAGGGTTATTCGCCAAAGCTTCAAATAGTGTGTTTTAAATAAATTAGACTATCGTTACATTACGAATTAAATACGACAATCATTTGTTCTCACATTATTTTCGTTTATCCGGGCCTTATTTTTGTTTGTCCATCCAACAGAAGTCAGTTATTAATAAATAAAAAACTCAAAATATTAACAATTATCAATATAAATACTTCTAATGGCAATTTATTAAAACTAACTATTTGCAATCGTTTGTCCACACATTATCTTCGTTTGTGCAGGCCCAATTTTCGTTTGACCACAAAAAAAGTTATAAAATTAAAATTTTGAGCTATTTAAGTCAGCACCGCAATAAAAAACTTTTTGAACATTTTAAAGTGGTATTCGATTGTTTTTACGATTTGTCCACATTTGACTAACAAAAAGTTTCGCCGTACTTCGAGGAATTACATTATTTGTTTGGGCTCCTCATTATTATCACCATCAGAAAAGTTTTGTCCAAGTTTTGTCCAGTTAATAGTTATTTTATCGAATATAAAATTAAAATTAAAATTAAACTTTTAATGTAGTTGATCTTTTACCATCAACTTGAAACATGGTGAAACGTTAATTTTGCTTCTTCAAAACCCTGTATTCACATTGGATAAAAATACCGCTAAAATTTAGGTGTGTCTGGTTAGATATCAAGGTGCGGCTAACGAGTTTCCCTATATCGTACGCTTCCATATTATCATCCCCTTGATAGTTGACGTGTTGTTCGCGTTGTTCTGTCGTTTGAAACGATAGAAAAAAACATTGATAATTGATAAATAATGGCTACGTTTTACGCTAATCCAGACGAAGAGAACGAAATTTGGATAGAGAGAGCACCCATTGATTCGCCGAGATTCAGAATTTGGCATTATATATTTTTCTGCTTTTCTGCTTTTACTGTATTAAGTAAGTTCATAATAATTAATTTATTTAAAACTGTTAATTTTTTGAGTATGTCGGAGATATAGGTAAGTAAAATTCCAACTGTTTTTGAACATCTATCACCAATTCTTTTAAAACCATTCAATAAAATGTAGTCAACAAATTTAAAAAATTCATTTAGAGACTTGCTTGACTTTAGAAAAGGCTTTGTTATAATTACAAACATACAACATAAAATTATACTCAAAATCTGTGTTATATCCAGTGACTAGGAATACTATCTGTATCTGACAAACCAAATAGACGGATTTTGTTAAAAATTGGTAAAAATAGTAAATATGTTATGATCTTCTAATATAAAAGATTTTGAAGTTCTGTCATTTCCGCTAGTTAAGTTATTTTAGTATTAAAACTTATTTTTAAAAACAAAACTTTATTTTTATTGTACAATGGAATAGTGGTTTACTCGACAGAGGTTAAAGCAAGAATGAATCTAAAGTTAACAAGAATTATCTACATGAAATATGATATCTGTACAACGTCACTATTATTTATGTGATATGGCAAAATGTCTTTATATAACTCGCTTATTGCGAAACTGAGAATAAGAGATTCATGTAGAGTTTTTTAAAAAATTTAAAATTCTGACACTGGCTATGTAGATGTCAACTTTTTTATTTTAAATGTGAGGCCTCTATTTTTATTCCAGATTCCAATGGAACGTGAAATTTTGGGGCTTCTTTGTATAATAAAGTAAATAACTAAAGTTTGTAGTCAATAAAAATAAATTATTTTCGAAAAAAAATTACGATTAGGAGTAGATATTAAAAATAATAGACAACTATTAATTTTTGGCTAAAGTTAGTGGATAGTGGAAATTTTTTTTTAATTGAATTTATTGAAGAAGGTAGTAGAGCTCGATTTTTTGTGAAGAGCACACTTCGTCATAATGTGCAAAAATTAATTTGAGTTTGTAGGCGTGGTCAGACAGATTTAAACGTGATCGAAACCTCCTGCCGCTCATCACCGCTCATACAAGTTGAATTCAGTAGCGTAGTGTTACTTATTTGTACTTGTTGCATTTATTTAGCTTTTTTTAGTTTCTTGAGTTTTGTGTTTCGATTTTTGAGTTTCCTGAGTTTTTGTGATTCGATTTGTGTATATATAAACTTTAATTTGTTATATTTTTTGAATTCCTAATTAATTTTGTGTATATTTTCGTAAGTACATTTACAAAACTATAAATATCTCAGAAGAAACCGAACATCCTGAAATATTTTAAATACCTTTTAAAACCAGATTTTGTGTAAACCATATTATTCTTATCTTAAGAGCTATTGCTGCGGTAAGAGCTATTGTTGCTATATAGTATGAAATCAACAAAAAAGTATTACCACAACGCAGAAAAAAAAAATAAAAAAGTCTGAGTATGATCACTGTTTTAAGGATTCGGTGAACATATTATTTCTTGATGAAAAAACTGAAACTAAAATTAAACACACAGATCAAACAAAAAAAAATATTTTTTCAATACAAATTGTAAAGGAAAGATTATATATAAATCTACAAATAATTTACTATAAATACCTACTTTTTTCATTTTTAAATTTGTGTACGCCTATGCGACGAATCTGTGATAAATAAGTTTCCGAGTTAAATCTGTAAAATTATGAATAAAAAACCAGATTTACTACTGCTACAAATATTGATTTTCTTACTGCACTGTTGTTTGATTTCACTGTTAAGAACTCCGTAAAATTAGTTATTGAATTTCTGCCAAACAAGCTTATATTGTAAAAGCGTGTTAGCTTGAGAAATTTTGTAAACAACGCAGAATTTATTTTATAACAAATTTATTAATTCTTATGAACCAAATGACCTAAAAAGCATTAATTGCGATTTGGTGTATTGTGGTTGCCTAACTTGCCTATTGATTGTTGACCTGAGCCATATAGATAAAATATTATTTATATTAAAAATTAAAATATATTATTTAATCAATTTCCCACTCTCGAAAGACAGTAATGAAAATAATATACTTTTTCATTCGGATCTTATATAATATTTTAGCAAAAACTAAATATACATCAAGTCAAAGATAATATTCCTAGTGTCAAGATAAGAATTCAGTACAGTGGTTACGGCTTGCAAGAAAGAAAGCGATTTATCCGAAATAGGAAACATAATTATAATTTAAGAGTCTAACTATATCAAATTAATAGATTTTTATCTATTAGGTACCTCAATGTATACCTACCTTCCTAATTTATTTGAACATAGGTTATTAGGTTAAGTTGAACATTATTGGGATGCTGGATGATGTCATCGCATTTTAACATAACTGTACCGTATTTTTAACTCTTAAAACTTTTAAATATCTGTTCTTTTCAATAAAAAATGTATTTGTTGAAAAAATATTCATTGATTAAAATATAACTGACCTGGGTTCCTTGAATTCAGCTGTACTGATGTTTCTGTTCTATGGGTGGTGTTGTAACACTGTGATGAAGAACTTCAGAGTTTGTTAATTATTACCACTTTAAACTGATACACAATTTTTTAAATAACGCAAAAAAACTGCTCACACAACAATTTTACAATTTTTTAATTACCTACCACTTTAATCTGATACACAATTTTTTAGATAAAACAAGAAAACTATCCGACATAGTTTAAATTTATGAATCTCATTTCAATCTGTAAATCTGTAGCTGACAAACTATCTATACCAAAACGTTATCCACATTTTTGAAACACCGAATTTCGCGAACTAATTCAAATATAAAACAAAATGGTCTCATAAATGCTTTAAGTGTTGCCTACATTAAGTTTTCGGCCAATGGAAGGTGGCAAATACAGCTGGTTAATTCAAACGATCATATATTTGGACCAATTAAAAGAGAGACATGAGCGACAAATTGAGTTTAGACCGTTTAAGGATGCGCGTTGGATTTTAGTGGTGAAAAATCTTAAGATGTAAAAGGAACAGGGACGGCTCTTCGTCAAATTTATATGGGGGTTATACGCAGTTTTAGGAAATAGGCATTGTCGGGTTTCTTGAAGTGAGAAATTGCCTTTTTAAAGTAAAAATGATTGGACAATAACGTCTGAGTCAGCCATGATGGGAAGAAAAAAGAAAAATCGTGCGTGTCAAACCCAGATAATGTAATTAAAATAGAATATAAATATTTGTAGCAAGTTATAAGAAATACAATAAGAATTATGCAAAATATACTAAAAAAATTAAAATAAATTAAAAGAATATTTAAAATTGTAATAAACAAACAATACGCATAAATATGATGTAGAGTTTTCATTAAATAATGGTTTTTATGCATATTGTAGCCCAATTTGGTACAGAACCAAGAATATTGCAGTTTTTGTTCAAGCAGTAATGAAAAGTGGTTTTTCTTTATTTAATAATTTTACTAGTTCTTATTTGTAATGTATTACTTTGCCAAATAAATTGCATAGTAATTTTCAAATGTTTATGTATTTAAAACGTCGTGTGCATCATATGAAATACAAGTGATTCGAACAGGACCGGACTGGTCGAAAATGGTTTGCACGACATTACCAATTTTTAACACAATCCGTCAGATATTAGATAGTGTATGTCTTTTAAATAATTTGTTATTTTTAGTGGTTCTTTTTTGCTGTTGTATGAAAATACGAGTCCCAAGAACGAAGCAAGAAATCGAAGCGGATTATTGTAGGAAAAAACTGGCAGAAAAATTTCGACAAAGGCTTAAATTAATTAAGAATCAAGACATGGAGGCTATGGATTTAGAAAGAGGTACAAAACGATAATAAAATGGAGTCAATATCTGAAATTTTTTTGAATGGTACTGTTAAGGTTCATTATCAGCTCAATTTTTCGAAATATATTGATGTACTTCATGTTTTAAGTTTTGGTGGGATTTTAGTGACTTATTTCAAATATTTAAAACAATGAAATCTCTTTATACAGTGATATATGATCCCAGACAGGTTCGCCATACATAGAAGCCATTTTAAAAATAAATATTTATTAAATATACCACTAGTGTTTTTGAGTAGGTCAATATAAAGTTGTTTTAGATTTAATGGTTTAGAATCAAGGGTGTAATGTTATTTTTGTACTGTATTTTGGTCATATTTATTCATGACTGCTTCCACAAAAGTATGACGTCAGTGGACCAAACAAAAACAAACCATTCTGTTATTTTTCTTGCTTGAAGGTCCTAAAAAAGTAGTTTAAAGATTTATAAACTTAATTATTTTGTTATATAGTAATTGCAGCGATGTACTTTTATGTGAATACAATATATTCAATCTTGAAAATAATAAAAATAAAATTTAAATGTATAGCTATATATACTTACCTGTATTTCTTTAATTATTGTTTTATAGAATTGATTACTAAACGATTATTTTACTTATTTTAGAAATAAATTTTAAAATCTAAAATCACTTAAATGAAATAACAGTTCAGAAACTAGATATTTATTCTTTAAACAACTTTGTTTGGCTCATTTTTTACGTGCACCCACATAGGCTACAGAAGCACGTTTGCTACTTCTATTTTAATGTTTTAACTTTGGAGAAATTCTTAAAAAAATATATAAAAAATTAAATATATACAATTAAGCAGTAAAACATAAAACTTGTTACTCGTTATCTAATTATTTATATACTTGATACTTGTTGTTACCAACTAAATATGTACCTACCTATTTACTTTTCAGCTTTACAAATCATAAAGGATGACTACAGGGAAGAAAAAACTAAAATTTGTGCAACATCGTCTATTCCACACTCAACTCTATAGATGTCGCAAAAAATACAAAAAATCAGAAACTGAAAACAATTAAAATTTTCTACTAAGTTCCACAAACCTTCAGAAAAAAATTGTGCTAAAAATAAAAACATCGTTTTGATAAAATTATAAATATGTTATTTTGTAGTATTCGCTCCGTGCGTGACTGCAGCGCAAATTCATTTAAGTACTAACAGACTATTTTTGCGTATACTGACAATACAATTTATAATAGAATTCGTAATTAAAAAGTATATATGTTAGTTTTAATAAAAGTATATGGATTTGTAAAACAGTGAAACATTAATTTATTAATATATATTTTAATTGCGTAAACTAAAAAAAAACTAAGTATAATTAATAATAAAATATAGGCAGGTAACAGTATTTATGTAACTCCGGTTGCTTATTGTATTGTTTACACCTTTTTTTTATAAAAAAGTAAAAAATGGATCCCAGTAAACCACAAATAGTCGGCATTCGCTCGGCCTGACATCGGCATGTACGATAAGCCGAGTACTCGAATTGCCGTTGTCTGCGTTTCTTCTGAGCCGGGAGGACCGTACCATTTGACGTAATTTAGAAGTAGAAACCGCATATGGCCCATATTTGGCGTTTCAGACATGAGAAACATCTTTAAGGGCCGAACGCGGTTAATATTTGGCTAGCCGGGCATGGGAGGCTACAATTTAGTGGGCTGCCGACATTCAGCTGGGCGGGCATGCCCTACCTATTTGCCGAAGCCTCACCCATATATCGGGCCGAGTCCGGCATGCGGCAAGCCTCCTTCGGCACAATTATGGTGCCAATAAACGCTGTTTATTGGGATACGTGTATCTGATATGCCAAAATTACAAAATATTGCCCTAAAATGCACGAATTATCCGCAGCTAGCGCTAGTATCGCTTTTGCTTCCCCTACCATAACTCCGATATTCTGGTGGTGTCGTGTATTTGTATAATTGAATTGTGAATTTTTTTGTTTATGTATATTAACCTACTAAACCTTATGCAGGAAGCACCCCCCCCTCATCCTCATAACTCATAAAAATATTCACGTCTCGCCCCCTGTAGTTTGAGTTAAAGTGTGTTAATTTTCCCACGATTTTTATTACATTATCTATAATAGTTTGTGCAACAAGAGTGGATATGGACAATCCACTCGAGTGTACTGTATACTTTTTCTACGACCTACTAACGAAAATGTACAAATTTAAAAAATTATTATAGGTTATTAGACAAAATAACTAATTTTAAAATAATTTATGAATTTTATTAATTTATAAAATAAAATAAACATGAAAAAAAAGATATAATTTATTTAGTCCCCAGCCCAGATTTGAACCCGAACATTTCACGTGGAAGGTACAGACGCTCTGTTGTCGATAATCTGCACCGTCTAATCTGTTCGGCAAAAAATTTGAGCCTATCAAATTGTCACCGACGATGCCAGCCCAAACATTCACGGAGAATTGTTGCTGATGACGGCGTTCTGCAATTTCATGTGGATTTTCTTCAGCCCGTATGTGGTTATTGTGAAAATTAAAAATACCATCTCTCGAGAAAGAACTTCGGCTCCAAACCGAGGATTTTGAACTATTTTGTCTTGCATTCATCTACAAAAAGCCAAACTTGGTGGAAAATCTCTTGGCAATAAGGCTTGTACTCTTTGGATATGATAGGGATACAAAAGTTTTTTTTAACGGTTTTGAATTGAAAATTGAGGATTTGTATGGTTATGTTTTCAAACTAGTTCAAATAAATCTTAAATGTGATGTCAAGTGTTTTCCTGCCATTTTTAAGGGAATCTGTTAAAATAAATAATTTTTAACAGGCCTCTAAAATTTGTGTATACAGAATACCATTTTTGGTTAAAAAAGGCCCGCTAAAAGTTTAATTTTTAAACGCCTCTAAATTTTAACGGATGTATTACATTTTTATAATTTTATAAATCAGCTCCAGGTCCTTCTGTCGAAAACTTCTACAAAAATATAATCCTAATACATATTTTGATAAAATTTACAACAGGCATTGTAATCTAAAACGAAGAAAATGGTTCAGAATATAGTTTTCTATTTTATAGAGGATCCTTATCGATTCTACTCAAATTTTTAAATAATAATTATAAAATAAATTCTCAAAGTTTAAAAAAAAAACAGAAACATGACATATGACAAGAAAAATTGACAAGTGACAATTGACATAAACGTTCCAATCAGATTGTGATGTTCACAGTACTTCTTGTGGATACTTTTTTTAGAAAATTTACTTTATTACCTTGTGTTAACATCGTCAAAAGGCTTGGCAACATTATGTGCTAGCTGGGCAGGGTTACAAACGCTTTTTGACTTGCTTGTACGCGTGTAATAATTGGCATTATTATTTTTAAAATATAAAGAATTTAACAAAAATCCCAAAAATATCTAATATTTTTAATATCTATTAAATTAACACAACATATTTATTAAAACCAATTAGAAATAGTTCATTGTACTAGAAAATTAAAGGACAAATCGTGCGAATAATCATTAAAAATAAATAAGTAGAGTTTCTTTTTAAAATAATCACGTTAAGGTTGATATAAATAGAGAGTCAATCATTGACACAAAAGGACTCAAGGGGCGGCCGTTGGGCCAAACCTATGCCCAAAAATGTAACTTATTAATTATTAGTATTTATTATATATAGTAAAGTGTGTGTGTAGTGTTTTAGTTTCAAAGGTAATATCTATTTTATTTTAACATGGTTAAATCTCTTGTTTGGGTTATGTATTTTAAAACAGTTCATTAGTCTTTCTTCAAATGCCAATTCTTTCATTTTCGTCCCAAGATTACTTATTAAATGTTTATCAGTTTTAAGGGTTTTATCATATAAAGAGTTTTTTTATTATAGTAAAAAGTTTTTGTGATGTAAAAGGTTTCATTATATTAAAGTTTTATCATAGATTATATTCTATTAATATGGTTTATCATAATAAAGATTTACAATTGTAGATAGTAATTTTTGCTTGTCTTATTTCAAAAATGAAGATTGTTCTGATTTATTAAAATTGTTAATAATTTTTTTACTTATATTTAAATATACATGTTATTCTTTATTAACCTATTTTATTCTCACCTCTTTCCAAAAACCAGTAAGAAATATTCCGAGCATGTTAAGCCTCTGCGTTCCTACCCTTAAGGACTTGAGAGTCTTAAGTCAGTTGCCAAAACCGCTCGACATATGCTATTAAGGGATGTTTTTTTTTGTAATTTTAATATTTTCTTTTATTATTTTATTTTGCCACTGGCGAATGGATGTTCCTTCAGGACTCCAGGACCCTTTGGCTGGTGACGTCGCTGCCCTAATCCCTTAATAGTATATTAATAACAGTAGCTAAAGACCTATCAGTAGTTACAAATGGTCTTTAGGCTAACTGGTTGTTACACGCGCAACGCCACAGTACGAAAATGTCCCGTTTTTGACAAAAATGCCACTCTTTTTATGCAAATGCCACTGTTTTTATGCAGCAAAATAAATGCCACGTTTTTATGCAAATATCATGCTTTTTAATATTTTTTTTTATTATTAAAATTAACGTGTCTCGACTGCTGAGGTCATTGACACAACTACAATTATTTACAGAGTGGTTTTACAATATTGTTTTCATAAAATTACTTTGATTTAAATTTTTTGTAAAAGTTGAGCGTCTTTTAAAAAACTGAAAAGGCACTGGTATTCTGTAGGTTCCCTAATATTTCTTCTAGTCTTGATTTCAGCTTGTTTCGTCTTCTTTGTTCGGAAAAGAGGTTACAGTCTATCAAAATATGTTTTACAGTCATTATCACAGTAGGTGCATATGGGTGCCTCGCTGGTTGTCATCAAGTGGCTGTGAGTAAGTTTAGTGTGTCCAATTCGTAATCTTCTTATTATGACTGCATTTGTTCTGGACAAAGAGGATAATCTGGGGGAAGCAATAATGGGTTGTATGTCTCGTAACTGTGTGGTCTCCATATTCCAGTGTGTTTGCCAATTGTCATGAACTGTTTTTCTAAACACACTCTTGACATCTTTATATATATGAATATCTTCAGCCGGTACGTCCAATGTGGAAGCTTCTTTGGCTGCACGGTCAGCTGCTTCGTTACCGCTAAGTCCAACGTGAGACGGGATCCAAATGATAGTGACGGACACTACATTTGTCACGAGGTTGGAATAGGTGTCATGAAGGGTGCGTTAAGTGAGCGGTCGGACCGGTCGAAACTATCTAGCGAAAGAGAAAACCGACCAACATGACTAATCAGCTGATCGGTCAGTCAGAACGGTCGAGAAATTGAGTGTGACTTGGTTAGTCAAAACTGTCTAGTGAATGGCCAATTGTCAATTCATGTTTCATTTAAACATACAATAAATTAATAGTTATGGATAAACTAATGTTGCTGAAAACCAATTTAATACATAAAACGGGAAAAACCAAATATTATGTAATATTATTACGGGATTAGTCACCTGTTATTCTAAAATAGGCGGAAAATCAACACAAGAATCTTTCCTATTCAAGATGCTGATGCTGGAACTTCTTTCAAAAGAATTATGTTTATTAGTGAAAATCCAACTGACAAATAGCCATAATAAGTTTATTTCTCTTTCTGCTGTTCATATAATTTTTTTAAATGCCTTCTAATTGAGTTTACCGCATTCTTTAGAACTGTCGATGTGTCGAGGAATTCACAAAACACAGGAGGGACTGCCTGGTTTTCTAATTTTCGGTTAGCTAATCATGAATTTTACAAATTAGGACTAGACATTTTCGACTACATCGCCTAGCGAGCGGTCTGACCATACCAGTCAAGTTGACCGTTGACTTAACGCAGCCTGAATTGCGTTAACTAAGGGGTGTTCCGAGAAAGCATCTCTAATTGAGTGGATCGATGAAAGTGAGTCTGTACAGATTGCAGTATGACGATCATTGGATGTTAACATCCGGAATGCTTCTAATATGCCATATAGTTCCCCAGTGTGTACGTTACATGTGGAAGGAAGTTTAATGAACTTATTGATGTTAGTGGATGTGACAACAGAACTACCAACACCTGATTCATTTTTAGAGAAATCAGTAAAAAGAATTGTGTTGAAATTGTTTTTATGGATGATACTTAGGAATGTTTGTTGGATTATTTCACGTGGTGTTTCAGTCTTATTAAATATGCTTAATAAAGTGTTTATGTGTGGTAATTTTTTAGTCCATGGTGGAATTGCAGAAACAGATAAAGGGGTAGTTCTGGAAAGATCAAAATTACTCAGTAGGGCTTTGAGAATATTAGGTAGCGGTTGAGCTCTTCTAATCGATTGTGTGTTAGGTACTATGTGATTTGGTTGAATGAGTATCGAATATGCTGGATTTTGTGGGTTGGCAGATATAGTAGCTGCATATGAGAGGAGAAGGTGTTGACGCCTTAGCCAAAGTGGGGGTTCTCTGGCCTCACAGTTTAAACTTTGAATAGGACTCGATCTAAAAGTACCAATGCATAGCCTAAGTGCAGTATTATGAACAGTATTAAGGCTTTTCATGTAAATGATGCTGCAGTGAAAGCCGGATTTATATAAAAACATGAGGTGAGGACTTTTTTTTAGAAATTTTTGGACCTGATTATATAAAAATGCTTAGTATTTGAACCTGATGCTCTGTCATCACAGTTGTCACTTTCGTAAATCTGCCAACCCTAGTTATGTCTATTCTGCGAAATCAAGGAACATTAAAAATAGACTTGATACATATAATATGCTTTATTCATAATACTAATATCAAAATTTTTCAGTTCTTTTAACAATCGCCCAAAATAAACAAAAAAAAAAACGTTTCTCAATTTTGTTGTAATTATGATGTTACTATAAACTTAATGTAGGCTTAGCTTAATAATTTTTTTCAACAAATATATACAACCCTAATAAACATCATATACACAACTTTCTACATATTTTTTTTCTTTTTTTCAGTAAATTCGCAAATTCTTTGCTACGTAAATCATGGAAAAAATTCAAAATTACTAAAGATTTTTTTTAACTATATAGTTTTGTGTGAGATAAATCAATAAATTACAGTTAAGATTTAAAAAAAGCATTTTAAGTTTCTTTGTTCTGAAATATTAAAAATTACAACTTTATTTTATAAACATTTTCACGGTTTATTAATTTATTAACATCTTATCTAATATTTTTATATGGTAACCTTATTTTATCGACAAGCAGAATTTTTTATAAAAAAATTACTTTTCGACTAAAATTAGTTATAACTCCATCTATGTAAAATCGATAAACTACTGAAATAAATTGATTTATCCTGCACGGAATCGAACAATTTAATTATTTTAAAGAATCCTAGTTTTTATAAGCAAAATTACTTAGAGAATCATTCCAGATATTTTTTCTTAAACAGGATGACAAGGAAATGTAGATAACGAATATAAATATACAAAATAAACATCCGAATATCTCAAAATATTTTCTTTGGCGCATCGTAATATAAATTAAAATAAATAAATCATTACGACGATGGAATTTCATTTTTTTTTTTGGTACATGTAAATGTGATTTTTTGTTTTTTAAAATTGATTATATCAAAAAAAATCGCATAATACATGCGTACACTAAAAAGCAATAAACAATTATTAATGACTCGAAAAAAATTATATAAAGTCGGGATATTTCATAAATATCCAACAAATTAATTACTCCCAAAGAAGATTTATATAAAGGGTGAGGTAAAATTGGCGGAACATCAGAATATCAAAAAAGGGTGATAGCGTCATCATACCTCGAATATAATATATCAAACATATCAAAATATATCAGACAATACTGATCTAAAAAATTAAATCGTCCTGCCTGATACATTTTTTTGTTATTTGTCCAATGAAGTTCTTCAGCTTTGCTGAACTTGCGCTTTTAAACCTTTAAAATGTTCTTGTGCATATTTTAATGTTTTTCTCTCTGTAATGAATGTTTGTTTGTTAAAAAAGACAATTATTATTTATTATTAAACTAGAAATCTGGTGTTGCGCCAATTTTGTTCAATCCTGCATAAAAACATCTGAAAGAGACCAATCATTAAAGCATCAAGTTTACAATTGTGCTAAAAATCAAATTTTTGCTTTTATTATTTTTTTTTTAAGCTAGTGGCCCCTATCTTTGGCGTAAAATTCGCTATTGAATCTGGTGGTTAAAATGTAAACTACGGCTTCGTAAGTAGCCATCATGATTGCCGTGTTGGGTATTTGTCTGACTAATTGGGTGATCAATCCTCTGTAAATTCCTCTTAAACCTGAAATAAATTAAATCGTAGAGGTTATTCGACTGTTGGAATGTGGCCATTTTCATAAACGAAAATAAAATTCTCAAAATCAATACGACACAAAAATGTATTAAATAAATTAAAAGTGTAAATAGGCTACCGGTTTCGGCTCAAAAGCCATCTTCAGGCCTAAAATGAATGTTAATAGCATAAGAAATTATCTTAATGATATAGATTAGGTACAGGCATTGTATCACCTTATGGAAGTACAGGGTGTCCGCCGGGAAGGTATACTAATTTTTTTTTTCGCCATTTTGGTAAACATTAGTCTTGACAGTTCATATTTGGCAATCGTGAAGTAGACACGCGGCAAATTTATTATGGAAAAATATTTGATAAACCAACGTGTTTTAATCGTTAAAACATTTTATCAAAATCAATCATTGATTACTGTGATGACGAGAAAGTTACGTGAAATTTTTGGGAGAAACAACGTGCCAACAAAACGCACTATTTATTGTGTAGTAAATGATTTCGAAGAAAGAGGGTCTGTAGAGGTGATAGGCCCAAGCATGGACCACAACGTACTGCAAGATCGGCTGAAAACATTACTGCTGCTCAAGAAAGTGTTCAAAACAATCCATCAACCTCAATTCGACGCCGTGTTCAGTAGCTTAATTTTCAAAGAATAACTTTGGCCACAATTTTGCACAAGAATTTGCATTTGTTTCCAGTTGACACAAGAGCTTCTTCCACAAGACCATTTACGCCGCCGTACATATGCCAATAGGATGTTACAGCTCGCCCATGACAACCCCGATTTTCATGAAAAAATTATGAGTGACGAGGCACATTTTCATTTGAATGGACATGTGAATAAACAAAATAGTCGGTTCTGGGCAATGGAAAACCCTCATATTATTCATCAGTCACCTTTGCATTCATTAAAAGTGACAGTCTGGTGTGCAATTTGGTCAGGAGGAATCATTGGACATTACTTCTTTGAAAATGAAAACGGCGTAACGGTAACTGTGAATGGGAAGCGACATCGTGATATGATTGAAAACTTTATAACGCCACAACTGCATGCTTTGGGCTTGATTAACATGTGGTATCAACAAGACGGTGCCACATCGCATACAGCCAGGATTACAATGGAATTACTGCGAGACCTCTTTCCACAAGTTATTTCAAGAAATGGTGATGTTGATTGGCATCCACGGTCGCCTGATTTGACTGCTCCGGACTTCTTTTTGTGGGGATATCTGAAAAGCAAGGTTTATGCAAACAAACCAGAAACGCTTGAGCTACTCAAACAAAATATTAATGAAATACCGCGTGAAATGTGTGAGAATGTAATGAAAAATGTGCTCAAAAGGGCTCGCATTTGTGAGGCTAACAGAGGCGGACATTTATCTGATATTGTATTCCATACATAATTGCCGACATTAAATAAAACATTTATCAATATAAGATCCATTCTCTTTCATTTACGCCCGTATGCACCGTACACGTCTAAACATACATTCAGTTTTACTTTGTACACCAATTAAATTGTTTGTAACATTAACAATTGACTTGAAATTATGAACAACGATGTTCTTGGAAGGCCTCTTGTACAAAGACGGCATCTAAGTGAAATTTAAGTAGCAAGAGCCGTTACACTATTACAAGAAGGACGTTCGCAGAGATGCGTAGCCCGCTTGCTTCCAACAAGTCAACCAACGATTGACCGAATGTGGAATAGATTTCAAGACATAGATATTATCCGTAGAAGACCATATACACCACGAGAAAGAATAACTACGCCCCGACAGGACCGCCAAATTGTACGATTATCCCTACAAAATAGGACAAGAACAGCTACACAGATAATAAACTTACATTTTCAGGCCACTGGTAGAAGCATATCTCTACAGACTACACGTAACAGACTTCATGAAGCCCAACTACACTCAAGAAGTCAAGCTATTGTTCCTCATTTAACACCAGCTCATCGTAGAGCAAGAAGAAACTTTGCAGCAGAACATATAAATTGGGATATTCATCAATGGAGCCATGTTCTTTTCACGCATGAATTAAGATTTTGCCTTTACTCCAACTATGGACGTGTGAGAGTCTATAGACGCCATGGAAAACGATTTTGGGATTGCAATGTAAGAAAAGAGCTTTTGGCGGTGGTTCTGTAATGGTTTGGGGAGGTATTCACGCCTTACATGTTTTTGAAAATGGCACCCTAACAGCTAGGCGTTATATCGATGAGATATTAACACCTATTGTCGTTCCTCTGGCTCATCTAGAAGGCCCTAATTTTGTTTTACAACAAGATAATGCAAGGCCCCACCCTGCAAGAATTGTTCAAAACTTTATTGAAGAGGAAAATCTTACTGTAATGGAGTGGCCAGCCAACAGCCCTGACTTAAACCCCATTGAACATATTTGGAGCATCATGGGAAGAAGATTGCGGGATCGAGAACAGCCAAATAATCTACAGGTGTTAGCAGTACAACTTCAGGAGGAATGGAACAATATTCCTCAAGGAACGATTCGTCAACTAATAGAATCTATGCCTAGACGTTGTGTCGAAGTTTTAAGAGCCAGAGGAGGGCATACACATTATTAGTTTTTGTTTATTTTGAAATTTTTTGATATTAATAAACAAGTGTTATCAATTTGCTTTATTTTTAACTTTGTTAAATGTACGATAATGTTTAAAAATTAAAACTTGCACACTCTTAAAGACACATACCTAAACTATAAGAACACAACATTTAAGGTATCTCCTCTCTTTGTGGAGTTATAACAATTTAAATAAGTGATACCTATTTCGTTGTGACTAGTTTATATCAAAAAGTAGACAAAATAATCAAATTTAAATTACCTTCTTCCTTATAAACTAAACCCAGCGTTTGCCAAAAAGCGCTGTACTTGTTTCCCTCCTCTCTCAATCTGGTTCTGGCCACTTCGTGCGGATAAGCGATGCACGAAGCGACCGTTTTCGATATGGCTCCGGCCAGCATGAATTCCAGGAAATCTTTGGAGCTCTTCTCGTCCGACACGTGCGATCTGCGCTCTATCAATCTGGCTTTTATGGCTTCGTATATCACAAAGTGGACAATCGTTTCCGATATGCCCATGTAGGAAGCAGTTATGCCTTTATAAAAACCTATTAATCCCTGTAACAAATTTTTTATCAAGTAATTATTTGCAAGTTAACCCATTGAAATTAATAATAAATAATAAAAGTTACCGAAGTGGCATATATCCTTCTAACGACTTGCATAGCAGTCACATTACTATTCCTATTTAAGTCCAATTGCAGGCGGGTTTTGACGAACCATATCGGATTGGTGAGGGTGCACGCCATAAAGCCCGCGCACGAAGCCGAGCACACGTGCACAACGGGAGAATCTGGTGGCAGCACCCCATTACAGAAAGCCTTCGCTTGTGAGTATGTACAGAAATAGACGGCTCTGGAGGGTGCGACGCCTACGAGGTTTGGCCCAAGACCTGAAACAAATTATTTTCTTATATGTCGATAGGATAGTAATATTTGACAGTACACAAATTAAGGTATTTCTTTATAAGCTTACTACAACCGGACATTCGAAACTGTATCCCGAATCCGTCAGGTAAAAGTTTTAAGATCAAGCAGATTTAGGACAGACGTACATAACGTCAATATTCGTTGGAAAAATAGATTAACCATACCATTACACCAAACACGTGCTTACAGAGGTTCGGTTTCATATCAAATCGCTCATCTTTTTAATTAATTTCATGACAAACATGGTAATTGCAGTAATAAATTAAATTTTAAGAAACAGTTGAAGAATGATTTACTAAATAGTGTTATGACACCACCAGATTTTTAATATAATATTATATATTTTGTTGTTCTCTGATTTTATAGTATATCTCTTATTTTTATTTTTAGAAGTTTAGTTAGTTTTTTTTGTTACTTAAGTAGATAATTCTTGTACAAAAATTAAATGTACACGGTTGGGTGGAAGAGCAGAGTTACTTAAAGGCAATTCATCTACCTTTAAGGAACACTGAACCCTGCCAATTGACATAAGTCATCTATGTATGTATAATGTCAATAAAAGCATTTATTCAGAGATTAGCATTTATTATTATTATTATTTTTTTTGTGTCATTGGCTTCAACTACCAGAGTTATTTCGCCTCGTGTTCTGTGTAGGCTTTGTTACTGTTTCCCAGCGCCACTTTAGGAACAGCACTGTTAATTAGAACCCAACAGTGAATGGTCGAGTGGGGAATCCTACCAAGGCATCAGAATTAATTTTAAATAAATTAAATGAAAAAATCCCGGCCAACGGTGGGATTCGAACCCGGGACCCTTGGATCCACAGGCAGAGACTCTACAACTGAGCCACCCACCCCGCATTTATTATTATTATTTAATAATATGTGTTATTAGTTACATTAGGAATCTCTTTAAAACTACTTAAAAACTAAAACGTCACAATCTAGAACATAATATAAAACTAAAGAAACTGCAAGTACTTCATACAACTAAGTAGTTTTAAAATTATTTAAAACTAAACCAATTTAAAACTACAACAAGACATACAAACTTTTAAGATTAATTGCCCTTATTAGCGAATCTTATTAGATACTTTAAAACCAGTTTTAAATGCTAAACGGCTTTTAAGTGCCCGCAGTATATCTACAAGGTAACTTTAAAACCAGTATCATCTTATTTACCACATTAAAACCATTTTAAAACTAAAATAAACCCAAAATGATTTTATGGTGCTACTTGGGAAGTTATAGCGGCAAGAAAGAAGCAGATATTACGTTTCACAGGTAAATGATAAACATCAATCGTTTTTACTTTATATAATGGTGTCAGAATGGAACAAAATTTTCAGCGGCATTATGAGTCTTCTCTTTATTACCTAGTCTAAGGTTACAGTATTATGGTAGGTGTTCTGTGATTACGGTTACTGTGGAAATCCTATTATTAAATGTCATATGTCAAATTTAATTTAGGTTTGAGGATTCAACACATAATAAGTTTTCAAAATGGTGGAGTTTTCTATATCCTTTTAAAAGGCACTCAGAAAGCTGCGCAGTTTACCCATTAGCTGTATATATATCTAAAGAAGGGACCACTAAAATTCACTAAACTCTGGTTTCGATACCCTTGAACTAAAACATTACTAAAATTTCGTTACTTTTATTAAATCGGATTATTTTAAGGCAAAATCGAACTCATGTAGTTATTATATCCATTGGCATCAATATTTGTACAGAATTATTACTACAAACATGTTACAGGTTATAACATAGTTGAATTTAAAAATTAATTAAGATTATTTAAATTAGACTGCAATAATCAGTGTGAAAAATTTATTGTATTTTCAATAATTAATTTGAATACTTTTTCAGTTGATTTTCGGAATATAAATTGTATCACAAGTTAGATTATACTTTCAGTATTCTCAACTAATTTGAGAACCCACAAAATCATTTACTTTTTAAACTAATTGGAACGGCCAGGGTCGATGTTTTTACACTCCAATTTTACCGTAAACCCATCGCAAATTCTTCATTATAAAACCCCTATTTAATTTACATAACCTCACTTTATTATAAAACTCATGCATTTCAGATAAGTTATCAGTTATCGTCCCTGGAATTGGAGTTTTCATTTTGTGATTTTTATTAGTTTTCAAATTTATGATTTAGCGTTTTTGCGTGTTTAAAAAGTAAATTTGGTCTATTTAGCGTAAGTTTGTTGTTTACATGACATGTTATGCGGCTTTACGTAACTGATAATAAAGTAAACGAATCAAAATTGAGGTAGATTAATCCATAACTAAAATTAGCAACAATAAATTATATCGTTTTAAAAATCGTAAATTGTAAAAATCATCGGAGACATAAATATTATCGCTAATACCGACACGAAACATGTCACGGTCGTAACTGCAAATATTTTAATTTTCATTCAGGATAATGTTAGATAAACATGCATAGAATATGCCCGGAAAATATTATTTATTTGTAATAGGTACGAGGAGCACTTTTAAACAAGTACTTATTGTATTTTAGTTTTAGTATATAATTTCTTCTAGCGATTAGTGGCATTTATTATTTCTCTTTGGTATATACAGGATGATTCATTAAGAATGGGCAAACTTTGAACTACAGATAGTAAACACCAAGATATGAAAATTTAGCCCATGTTTGGTTTAGGAGAAAATTTTAATTTAAAATTTCTCAATAACTTTACAAGTTTTAACAGCATGAACCCAAAATATGTACCTTATTTTGTGACTGCTCATAGAAGGCGCTAGTGGCACCCTATTACTTCAGTAAATTATATCATATCTTCTATACCCATTGAATAATGGTTAAAATAAAATAAAAATGTGTTCAATTTTACATAAAAAAATGTGCTAGATGTGTTAGATGATTTCTCAAACGTTACTTTTTGGTAGCAGTTACTTATAAAATTTTAAAAATCTTAGTGAGGTTTCATCGAAACCAAAATATTGTCGGTTTAGTCGTTTTAACCTGTCAGATTAAAACATGAAAACCGACAATTCCTAAGCAGAAGCGGATGATTAAAACGCACCTATTAAAAATATTGCGCCAAGATGTAGGCAACACGTAATAATGGTTCAAAATGGCGGAGTTTTCTATCTCCTTTTAAAAGGCACTCAGAAAGCTGCGCAGTGCGACCATTCTCCGTATAGTAAAAGAAAATCAAAGTATGTGATCCGACTCGACAGGGCTATTTGATTTTGTCGTTGGACTTTTGAAAAATTTGAATTTAGATATTAAAGACATGAGAGGTCAAGGGTATGATAATGGGGCGAATATGCGCGGAAAACACACTGGTTTACAAAAATGCATACTCGATGCTAATCCCAGGGCATTTTTTGTGCCATGTGCTGCACACAGCTTAAATTTAGCAGTAAATGATGCTGCTAAAGTTTCAAATGAAACAGTTAACTTTTTCAATATTGTACAAGAACTTTATGTATTTTTCTCTTCATCCACAAAAAGGTGGGATATTATAAAAAAGTATTTCCCGAAGTTAAATCTAAAACCCCTAAGTAATACTAGATGGTCAAGTAGCATTGCTATAAGGCCGCTAAAGTTTTATTTAATTCAAATTTGTGATAGCCTAAAAATAGCAACAAATGATACTTTTAACATAGAAGCTAGACATAAAGCAAGTTCTATGCTATTAAGCATCCAATATTTTAAATATATTTGCAGTGTAATAACTTGGTATGATGTTTTATTCCAGACTGGCATTGTAAGCAAAATGATGCAAAGTGACGACTGATATTAAAGTGTGCCAAAACTATTTAAAGAATCTAGTTGATAATTTTAAAAATTATAGAGATGATGTTTTCGAGGAAAAACTTACTCAAGCTAGAGAACTAGCAGCCGCTCTTGAGATAGAGCAAGGTTTTCCTCCATTAAATACTGTTAGACGAAAGTATAAACCAAAACTGTTCGATTATGAACAGAGAGCTGAGACACCTCAAGATCCAAAAACAGCGTTTAAAATAAATTTCTTTTTAAAAATAATTGATCAAACACTAAGTTCTTTAAATAGTAGATTTGAAATGATATCTGATTACGACGTTTTTGGTTTTTTAATGATATTTTTAAATTAAATGACGAGGATCTTTTAAAATGCTGTCGTGCTCTACAGCAAAAGCTAACTGATCAGAAAAACGAGGAGGCTGACGTAGAAAAAAATGATTTATTTAATGAGATAAAAGCCTTAAGATTGTTTTCATTACCTGAAGAGTCAAATCCCCTCGACATTTTACAATATATATGTTAAGGTAAGGGATAATTAACCCTAATAAAAGTCATTAAACCACCACAACTGTTTATTTATTAGTATTACACTATTCTATGTATATTGTATTGCGTGGCTACGCGGTCGAGCTAAGACTCCGACTGCTGCTCCCCTCCGCTGCTCTCCGTTCGTCCGTCCTGACTTGCCAGGAGTATTGACAATTGACAGTGACACGTGGTCAATAATGTTGGGGTACAAGGGGAGTATCACTAACATATATTTGAAAACAATCTAACTTCATCTCTATCAAATATTACCATTTCGTTAAGAATCCTGCTTATTTTACCTGTATCTGTAGCTTCTGGAGAGAGATCCTTCTCAAAATTAAAATTAATTAAAAATTATTTTGTCACAAGAAAGATTATCGGGTTTGGCAATCTTAGCTATAGAGCAAGAGAAGAATTTGCAGCAGCCAAATCCAGAAAAAAACCTATTTAATTTTTAGATAATTGAATGTTTTATTTGTTTATTGTTTGGTTTGTTTTTTCGTTTGTAAGAATAAAATATTGGTTTTTGAAATATCTGTTGTTTCATTACAAAATGTGGTTTCGCAATTCGCTGAAATGTTAAACGACTACAAGAATATTACAGCAAACCAAGAAATTTAAAAAACATATGTAACAGCTTAAAGTTGTTATTCTTCAAAATATTAT